TGTATCCGTGAGACGTACAACCTCAGGGAGAGCTTCTTCTGTATCCGTGAGACATACAAGCTGCCCTCCAGAAACACAAAGCCTGAAGGGAATGTTCCGAGAAAAGAAGACGAAGTGCAGAAAAGAGATATTAAATTCATCCATTTTAGAGGTTCTCTGTGCATTTGGTGGAGCCCTGGGTGGCGTACATGGTTAACTCGCTTGCTGCGAACTGCAAGGTTGGTGGTTTGAGTCCACCCAGAAGCACCTCAGAAGAAAGGCCTGGGTATCTACTTCAGAAAAATCAGGCATTGAAAACTCGATGGAACACAGTTCTACTCTGACACACACGCAGTTCATCCTGAGTTGGAATGGACTGGATGGCAGCTTTGGTTTTTCTATGTATTTGGTATATTATTTTAAAACAACAAGACAGCTTATGTGTGTATATGTGCATGTACATATATTTTAGCATTTAACTTTATACAGAGCAATGGTAATATAGTACAGAATTACACAGAGATGTATGGAAAGATGTCCCTCAAAATATCTCTGGTGATAATCTCTTTCTAGTGGGTGTGGCGAAGTTTTGCTTTCTTTTCTGTAATTTTGTGAACTGTTAAAACTTTCTACAATCGTGGTGCATTATTTCTGTAAATAGAAAAAAAAAGAAAACAAAACATAAAAAATAAGGTGGCCTTCTCTATTTTTACGCTGTGGCTGATGCACATGTTGTTGAAGGTGAGTGTGTAGCTGAAACAGCTGGGCAGGTAGTCTCTCCGTCTTACAAAGTTTAAGATGTTTGAACTGTTCGCGTGTCTTAACAAAGATGGCCGTCTTCTCCAAGGACGCCCCTGGAGATCAGGGGTGGTGAGCACTGGAATTCTTGGTCTCCCGGGTGGCTCCCCTTATACTATACTAGCTTTCAGGGACATGTAAAAAGCACTTCTTCAGCAATCTACATTTCTTAATACAAACCTCTACGATGATCTGTCTGTACTTCGGCTCGTCAATATTTCCCAGTATGTCTTCAACAAGAAGAGAAAAATTCATCTCGTACATGGTCATATCTGACAGCGTGGGTTGCTGCAAAAAGGAACCCAGAATTAACATGCCGCCCTGCTGCGTTCTAGTTTTCCTTTCGTGGAGGGATTTCGTTTTCTAATCAATAATCTTTTTCAGTTTCTATAAAACCTTAGAGAGCATTTTCAGCTACACGGCTGGATTTTATATATGTCAAACTCTTGAAGCCAGCCAGCTGACTCTTGTGATAAATTAAACCTTCGGCTTTTAGTAGCTGTCATTGCTATATTCATGTTTTTAGGGGAAAGGGACTACATTAGAAAGCCACCTCAATACTCCAAAGGGACAGCCAAGAATTGGAACAACGAATAGAGCACATATTCTCCTCAGAATTAACACAAGAAGTTATGCTGCTGTCAGATTTCAGCTTGTAAGTCACTTCTATTGAATTTACATCATTTCTGTGGCAGATCCTTTCTGAGCTGGCAGCATAAAAATGCACACAAACAAGCAAAAAGAACATTATATGCAGAAATGGCAAGCAAAAATGGAAAAAAGAAAAACGAAAAGAATTTTCTCAACTCTACCCTTTACCTTTCATTTAAAGTAGGAGTGTTGTATAGTCTTCGATTCATTTTTCACATACCAAATGAAAACAGAAAACTCAAATCCAAAGTTGGGCACGGTGGCTAACCCTCACAAGACGGAAGGGAGGTGCTACTCGTTAGGCATGTATGGTGGAAAGCAAATGGAGTCACTGGAATTGTTACCAGAGATGGTGAGACGCACTTAGCTGCTTTTACCTCAACGACTTGGAGTGAACTTAATCACAGCTTCGGAATAATTACTCATAATGAAAGCCTGTGGGAATGGACCCTCCCAATCCACTGCCAGCAAAGTTCTCTCACCTGGTGTATATCTAATTCGATCCATTCATTGTTGATGCTTAGAGGTAGTACCTAATTTGGGGAAAATAAAGCCTGGTTGCTAAACACAGTATAATTGCTTAGACACCCAGCAACAGGATTAATGGGATCACAGAAGGGAAGGAGGAAGGAACCTTTCTTTCATGGTATCACATCCATTTCCTTTAATACATCTCATTTGAAAAGGCAACCTAGCTGCTATGTGACTACGGTAATTAAGTCCAGAGGACAGACAGTACGCTTGCCTTATTTCCTATTCTTGGGAAGAATTTATGGGAAGGGGTGTAGCAGAGACGTTAAAGCAAAGGTTCAGAAGGCAAACTGCAGGGTAACACCCTGGACCCTGGGTCTGCTACTTCCTAGCTGTGTGGTCCTGGGGAAACCACTTCCCAGTGCTTCAGTTTCCTCATCTGTCAAGCAGGAGCAACAAAGGACTAACTTCACAAGACTGTTGTGGGGATTAAATGAGTACCTAGAAAGTGCCTGACCCATAAAAAGTACTAAATACCTATTTATTGTTGTTACATGAAGCATTGGTGTTTCCAAGGTAGAATTCTTGCCTTCCATGTGGGAGACCCGGGTTTGATTCCTGGCCAAGGCATCTCATGTGCAGCCACCACCCACCTGTCAGGGGAGGCTTGCGTGTTGCTATGATGCTGAACAGGTTTCAGCAGAGCTTCCAGACTAAGATGGACTAGGAAGAAAGGCCTGGAGATCTACTTCTGAAAACTGTTGTTGTCAGGCGCTGTCAAGTCGGTTCTGACTCATAGCAAACCTGTGTACAACAGAATGAAACACTGCCTGGTCCTGCACCATCCTCACAATTGTTGTTATGCTTAAGCCCGTTGTCGTTGGAACCACTGTGTCAATCCATCTCGTTGCGATCTCCCTCTTGTTTGCTGATCTTCTACTTTACCGAGCAGGATGTCCTTCTCCAGGGACTGACTCCTGATAACATGTCTGAAGTAATCGAGACAAAGTATCACCACTATTGCTCCCAAGGAGCACTCTGGCTGTACTTCTTCCAAGACAGACTTGTTCATTCTTCTGGCAAAACCAAACCAAACTGAACTTGTTGGTGTCGAGTGGATTCTGACTCATAGCAACCCTACAGGACAGAGTAGAACTGCCCCATAGGGTTTCCAAGGAGCAGCTGGTGGATTCGAACTGCTGACCTTTAGGTTAGCAGCCGAACTCTTAACCACTATGCCACCCGGGCTCCATGCATATGAGGTGACTGAAAATATCATGGCTGGATGAGGAGCACCTTAGTCCTGAACACTTTAAAGAGGTGTCTTGTAGCAGATTTGCCCAATGCAATACGTCGTTTGATTTCTTGACTGCTGCTTCCATGGGCATTGTCTGTGGATCCAAGTAAAATGAAATCCTTGACAACTTCAATCTTTTCTCCATTTATCATGATGTTGCAGATGTGAGGATTTTTGTTTGGAAACTTAGCCTGTGTAAACCCTATGTATCACAACGGTCTGATCATTGGGATGGTGCAGGACTGGGCAGTGTTTTGTTCCATTGTGCATGGGGTCACCATGAGTCAGGAGCTGACTCTCCGGCAGCTAACATGAACAATTGTGGTTACTGTTAGCAAAGAGAGTGTACTGAATGTACCTGGCCCAGGCAATCAGACAATTAAATGAAACTCTGGTAAGTATTAGTAGGGGCTGAGACAGAAGCTAACGGAAGGTTGCCATAGGCCACTGCCCATGTGTGTAGAGAGGAGGCCTAGAAGAAGGAGCAGGGTGCTAACAATGAAGGCCCATTCTCTGCCCAGGAGACAGTGCTGCTCCAAACAGCAATCACAGAGCACCCATCCTGGCAACCATACAAACCCACCCAAAGTCCATGAATAGCATAAAGAATACTTTATTGAAGTTTTTATTATTTTTTTTAACAGATAATATATTCACTTAGTTCAAAATATGAAAGGTAAAAAAGAATTTCAGTGAAAAGCCCACCCCTGCTCCCTCAGCCACACAGTTCCTATTCCCAAAGGCAAAGGAAAGAAGGCTACCGATTTCCTGTGGGCCCTTCCAGAGACACCCTACGTACAACAGGTAAAGCGAGCATGGGTTAGCGTATTAGAGAATACGTCATTTGTACAAACAGCTTCATCAGAACTGATCTGGTTGGAGCGGCAATGCTGGAGACAAAGACAGCACCTGACTTCCAAGGGCTGAGTTTTCACTGTGTGCATAAGCGGAGGGGGTGGACGATTTCCACAAAATAATCAAATCAGAGAAGCAGGCCAGTTTGTGTAACTTGAGACACCACCTCAGGGAGGGGCACTAATTCACCTGGAGCACAGGTAAGTTACACCTTGAGTAAAGTGAGGGCTGTGGGCCCTGTCTGATGACCTGGCTTCCGTCATGTCTTCCATGTGCAGGCAATTCCTGAGCAGTAACTTCCTCGCCCACAGCATTACCAGGATGCCCTCCTTCTTAGACCTGCCCTGTTTTATTGTTTGTGAGGTCACCCAGCAGTGGCCCATTGTTTTTGGGAAATAAAAACTTGCTGGGAGGGACCCCTGCTTACAGCAAAGCCCATATAAGAAACTCTAAATTCACTAACAAGTAAACAAAGGAAGGACAGCTTGCTTGGCAAAAGGCTTAGCTGCGTGGTTTCTTCAAGCAGAGAGCTTCCTTGAAATGTTAGAAATATGACAATACCAAAAAATCTGATTAAATTCAGCTTCCCAGCAATATAGCCACTTGGTAAAGCAAGCTTTTTTATACAAAGGGATGCTAAAATTGAAAATAAAAGTAACTGAGATTGGGGAAAAAATTTCAATCCAGTTGATTAGACTTTTTATCTCTCAGCACTTCCTCCCTTCAGGTATCTGGAAACCCTTCTTTTAAACACTCTTAGAAAACTGAGTAACGAGAAAGGTCACGTTCAGTGCAGAAGGGGGAAGAATTCTCCACTCCTTGAGGTCCTTTTAGAAACCCCTTTCACTGGCACAAACACGGTGGGGCTTTACCTGTGGCAGATGCTTCCCAGCTACAATGATACCATTGGGTGTCCGCTCCAGGATCTGCCACACTCGGTCATAGAACCCCTTGGGAGTTCTATTCAAAGACCCATCGATCTTACGCCTGTTCAGCCAACATCTGTAGACCAAAGGAAAATGACCCAGAATTGAAAAACTAGCTTGTTCTGGTAGAAAGCAGAGTTTTCAATATGGATTAATTGTTCGGTAGGGCGAGCAATAAGAGCCCGAAGCCATCAACCATGCATAGCTACCATGTGTTACACAGTGAGCAACAAGAGGCCAAATCCATCAACGATGCGTATCTACCATGTGTTACAGAGGTGAGCAATAAGAGCCCAAAGCCACCAATGATGCGTATCTACCATGTGTTACAGAGGTGAGCAACAAGAGGCCAAATTCATCAATGATGTGTATCTACCATGTGTTACAGAGGTGAGCAATAAGAGCCCAAAGCCATCAACGATGCATATCTACCATGTGTTACAGAGGTGAGCAATAAGAGCCGAAATCCATCAACGATGCGTGTCTACCATGTGTTACAGAGGTGAGCAACAAGAGCCCAAAGCCATCAACGATGCGTGTCTACCATGTGTTACAGAGGTGAGCAATAAGAGCCCAAATCCATCAACGATGCGTATCTACCATGTGTTACAGAGGTGAGCAATAAGAGCCCAAA